ATTTTTATTAAATATTCATAGTGCAGCATCGGCCTAACTTTGTACATTCCCGATCCAAATCGATACTGACCATTATTCCAGCTCTTTTCCAACGATGTTTCGTCCAATATGAAATATAAATTTGACTGGAATTCGACTATTCGTGTTTTAAAACATGTGTTCATTTTGTTGAGTTGCATGAAATTATTTGCTTTATTGAATTGTATTTGTCAAAAATGTCGAAACGTAGACACAAGCATATTAATAGATACAGGGCGTTATTGAGTTTCACAAACGTTTATTTAATTTGTAATGTTTGTGTGTAAGTTATTCATTTTTAAATTTGAAAACTATTTTTCAGCTACTCTGGGACGCACAATACACCATCAACATTTTGATAGTCTTATAAGCGTGTTTTATCTTTTGATTGCTTTTTAAAAATGCCTCTATTCTTTGAGGCAGTTGAAGTTGTTTTGTTTTGGTTTGGTTAGGCATTTCTAAGACTATCAAAATGTTGATCTAATAACAATTTGACATTTATACTATTACGTCAAAAGCCTTTAATAACCTAACCAAACCAAACCAAACTGTTTTCCAAAGCCTACCATGACTTCACTGAGGTATCGTTTCTTGTACACTGTTATTAATATCTTAATTATTATATTAATACATCTGGTATATCGTCGATTTTAAAATAAACTGTACCGTGATGATGATGATACCGTGTTGTAAAAATAATGAAATTAAGGTCTTATTTTGTGGTATTTATTATAATTTTCCTAATATCTTCGGTTTGAAAGAAGATTCCATGCGCTTTTTGCTGACTTTTACTACTCTTTACTATCAGGTAAAATTACATATACTATTGTATTTAATTTTTTTGAAAAAACGCGTAATGTTTGTTAAACTGAAAGACAGCGACCCCCTGGCGTCTACGTTCAAAAGCTTATTATTATTTTTATGGTATAATATAGAGTAAGGAACGCTTTTTTAAACGAGCTCTGTTTGTTGGATTCTGATTATCCAGAGTCCAGAATTATTAACATTTAAATAAAGATAGATCTAACCTTCCCCCATCACTTTATTTTAGCAGATAGGAAAAAATGGTTCTAACAAAAAAAATTCAAAATTTACTGAGTATTATGGAGCTTTATTCATACCCATTATCTAGGCAAAATTCTGTAAAAATCCCATTTTTCTTATTTTCCATAGAAGTTGCGGCCTCTAGCGGCCGTTTTACAAACTTGAAAATAACTTACAGCAATTTCTCATAGCCCCTTTAGTTATTAATATTTTTCCTGTAGGCCCTACGGCTAATACTTTCCGAGATACAGCCGAGAGCTATTCTTAGTGGGATACCCTGTACATAAGAGGAACAAAATGTAACTAGACGACAAAGTAAAAAAATAAAAATTGAATGACATATTGTCAAAAAAGAACAAAAATGGTGGACGGGTATAATTTTTATGTTGGCTTTTAAAATATCAAGTTTCAAAATTATGTAAATGCTGCCTCGCTTGTCTCAAAGACCTACGACAAAAAAACAACGCCTCGTAGGACCTGAATGAAACGCTTTATACCTGAATGAAAATCGGCCCATAAAAGCCTCGCAGCCATGGCCGACTTAAACCAGAAATCTTTACTCCCCTAATTATAAAAAACGGTAAGAATCTCCGAATAGACATTAATTAAAGGGAAGATTTATATTAACAACAAAAATAGCCCACACTGAAAAAAAAGAGGGCTTTAACTCAAAGTCAACAACGCTCTTGAGTGGTTTTTTAGCGTCACTTTTTGTAAATAAGAGAAAATATTTTCGTTTAAGGGAATGTTGTTTAAATCAAGAGAATTTATGTTACCATAAGAAAAATGGTTCTCTTGAAATACGAACGATTTTCTCTTAGATGTTTTTTACTACAGACAAAATCCAAAGGACTTGTTTTAAAAGGCCTGAAAATTAAGCATTTTGTTCAAGAGATAATGTTTTGAATTCATATCTAAAGAATTTGCGTCAAACTCCTAGACGTTTTGGGGAAAGAGCACCGTGTCTTGGAAGATGTTTTTCAAGATAACGGCAATCGATGCACAATAATTTTTTTGGGCGCAAGATAAATAGTTTAGATTTGGCAAGCGTCCGGTTTTGCCGCTATAGAAAAATAATCCCCCACCACAAAACATGGTGTGACGCGACATAAACCGACGCCGCGCCCGCCGCGCCGGCGCGGCTCGAGCCCGTACCGGTCATCCAGTAGTTCGAATATCTAGTCGGAATCAACAGGTGTGTTGTTCGATGTGATTTTTGTTAAGAGCAACAGAAGTGTGTTAAAATGGCGACACCCATCAAAGATTTTTTGGAAAGTTGTCGTTTAAGCCATTTGCTGCCTAAATTTGAAGGTAAGTATATATTATATATATGTATATTTAAATTTCTGTACAATTGGCTTGAGGTATACCTACTGGTTAAACATGCATGAATAATACAGAATATTTCCATTATCAGGAAAATGTAAAGGTTTATAGAGTAGTGATTCTATAACATCAGTATAATTCACGGTATTATGTACCCCTTGTTGAGTTGTGTACAAACCTGAGTAGCCGAGCTTAATTCCACAACAAAAAATTAAGTGTTGCAATTTTTTTTTTCGGTTCGGTTTCTTTGAAAACTCGACTGGTCAGGTGTGTATAATATAATATGCTACTACAAAAGTTTGTTTATCATTTCTATCGAGGCCATATACTTGATTGAAGCTACAAGAAGATACAAGTTTAGTGTGAATTATTCATGGTATAACTTCTATAGTTTCGAGAGGATATACAGCAAAATGGCGGCTTGAATGTCAACTTTCTCCAGAGAAGAGAAATTCTTTTGGCCGAAGATCTTGTGAATTTGGTGCCAATCTTAATGGTTTTGAATTTGACACAATGGCTATTAAACTGAAATAATTATTTCTGACGCAAACTCTATGGATTTCGTGTCAAATGCTATAGATTTTAACGCGAGTTTGTCAAGAATTATGTTATGCATGAAAACTTAAGCATTTTCATTTGACAATATTAAATTTTATTTATTCCCTGCCTGAAAATTCTTCTTATACACGGCGGCGGAGTCCCAAAAAGCTAGGACATAAAACATAATTTAAACCAAAAAATTAAATTATCGTACTATAACTATTCCAGAGTATTTTCGTTTCAGAACAGAATATTGACGAACTTGAAATTTTGAAAGAACTGAGCCAAGATCAAATCTCTTTTTTGGCCCCCAATATAGGAGATAAGATTAAACTCGAAAGAGGTCTAGCCAGGTTAAATGTGAGTACCTGGTAACTTTTCTATTGACTGGTTTTATGTTTTGAATCTTAAGTACATACATATCTTAAGGTGTTTCTTAATGTCAATATTCAAAAGTGTTATTCCACAGGTCATTTAATGAAAAAGTCCATAGTCCATTTATCATAAACATCATGTCCCGGAAATACATTGTTTCCAAGCTACAGAGGATGTTTAAATTTAAGAAAAAAAACGGTTTTTACTCAGCGCTGAAGTGCTCTGCTTCGCTGAATGCAGTTCCCGCGGACTTATGTTTATATGAACTTTTTTTCATGAAATGACTTGACAAATAAATAATCTCCTTGAATATTGCCACATCATTAAGGTACACCATGTTTAGAAAACTTATTATGCGCATATTTTTTAGGAATCAGAACACCAGGCAGAAGAGCCTCCGAAGAAAATACAAAAGTGTAACGAGGAAACAATAATTAATACTACCAGCAACCAGGTTTTAAACGAGACAAACGACCAGGCCTATTCAATACTGTTTGTTGAAGACCTGTTACCATCAGTGACAACGCCGGCGCCGGTGACCCCGAAGGACATTATCGAGGACAGCATTAGCCTCGCCACTACCGAAACAATATCCTGTTCATCACAGGCAGCATCTTCCTCAACAAGTGTTGAGAGGGAAAATACATTCCAAAAAACGTCGATTGGCAATTTTGACCTTATAGATTTCTTAAAAAATGACCTTCTTGGCGATGCCATTTTATACAAAAGTACCAAGTTTAAACTAGACAACACCGACAGAGACCGACTATGTGAAATCTTGATTAAACACCTAATCCATCATTATGGCAAATTGAATGCTGAAGACTTCTTAGTACTGTCAAAGAAAATTGTCAATGCTTTTCCACGAGAACTTTGTTCTACCTACATACTACGTGGCTGCTATTCCAAAAACCCTTTCCACCAAACATGAACATGAGAAAGCAAGGGGAAAACTCAATGACAAGCAGCGAAATTTACTTTACCTCATCAAAAGACTTAAACAAAGCGAGTCCATCAAAGAAAATCTAAAGGAGACTATAGAGGTAGCTATTTATGACTGGTATTACTTTATTTTATTTTATCATTTAATAATATTATATATATTTTTATATTTATAATTAAATATTCTTTTAGAAGTTGCCGAGGAAATTTCTCAAGGAGCAAAGGATAATAAATATGGCTCAAGAAGAAAAATACTGAACCAGCTGGTGAGGTGACCCACACTGAAACAGGCATATCCGATTAGAAAAGTGTCCCAATCTGCAGGGACAATATCTGATTTTTGATGTGGCCAATTTTGAAAACCAATATCGCCACTGAACTGGTAAGTAGAAATACATTTTATTCATGTTAGTTAAATAATGTACAGCGTATGTTGCTTTGTTGGCAAACCTGTCTGTACTTTTAGTGTTCCCTAAGCATTATTCAGAGATTAAAAGGGTGGGAAGGGGAGAATTTATAATCAACAACCCTGAACCGGGTGTCCAAATAAGAAAGGATTCCGGCTATATCTCAGGAACTATTAGTCCTAGAGTTTTCAAAATATTTTTATACAGAGTGATTCAAAAGCAAGCGGCATCCTTTCGGGGGCGTAATCCTTGCACAAAAATAACTTACAAAAGTTCCTATTAACATGGGCCCGCAAATGCCGTTCCAAGATACAAGACGTTGAAAGTGAAAAACTGGCTCTATTGTTATTCGACAAAAAAAATTGCTACGCCACTGCTTTTTCAAAATAAAAATCATTTTTGTAATCTTTCACTATACTCTCTGGAACAAAAAGGGCCTGACATTTTTCAATCAGACCACCGGTTTTGGTAAAAAAATAAAAATAAATTCGTTTGTATTGAATATGCATCTTTTGAAATTAGGCAGATGCTGTTAAATTTATTTATTTTTACTCCAAAAGCTCGATAAATCTGATAGAAAAAGAATTAAGAGGCCATTTTGATGGGAATATAGTGAAAGATTACAGTAATATTTTTATTTTGAAAAAATGGCGTATCAATTACGATCGGATAAAATGTAGCGTTTTTCACTTTAACACCCTGATGTATCTTGGAAACCGACCATTGCGGACCTTCGTTAATAGGAACTTTTTGTCTTATTTTTTGTGCAAGGATTACACCAGAAGATGCCGCTTGAATGCCCTGTAAAAAATTTGAAAAACTCTGGGACAACTGAAATCCCTGAGATATGGCCAGAATCTGTTGAACACCCAGCCAATCAACAATAAGGTGAATAATGTTTTTTATAATTTGATTGACTACGATTTTGCTCAAATCCACAACACTAGATCGAATTTCGATATTGAAATTGAATTTAACACATTCTTTAATAATGTTCTAAAAACAACGAAAAACATTATTAAGCCCCGGCTGACAATACAATTCTAAGTCTCTTGGGGAAAGTGAAATAGACAACAGGTATGTTAAATCTAGTAATACCGCTATATATTTTAACATAAATTTGGGTTTCCAAACAAAAGATTAGTTATTAATAATACAAACGGTTTTCTAAACTTATCCTGCATATCTAAAGGCAAATTACAGTTGAAGGTGAATAGGAACCATATTTATTGTCTTAAAAGACAAACAAACATGAAATATTCTTTGTTTGGAAGCCCAATATGTCAGATATTTGTCAAATTACGTCACCACTAATCTACCGTATAGACTAAACTTAATATAGTAATTAAAAATACTCAGGTGCTTGAAAAGAATAAAACACTGCAATCATTGCAAGTCAACATAAATTTGGTACCTTTTGAGAACGACATCAACAATAACTCCGTGCATATTCTTATAAGATTTACTGGTAGTTAAAGGTACTTGTTTTGCGCCAGCCGAGTTTAGAGAATAATAAGCCCTTCTTAGTATTTTTAAAACTATTATTTAAAGTTTTCCGTTTGTCTGTTTCTTTGTTGTGTACCAAAATTTGTATCAACTTAACATTATGCGAAATGTAATACTTTTTGTCATAGACTCGAGACGAGCCATTCAGCTCTGCTATTGGCGGCGCTTATTCCGCCGAAAACTAGAACGAAAATCAGAAAATTGCAGTGGAAACCTTCAGCAGAAGCCAGAGAGGATATTTGGTGCATGTGCCGTCCGGCAGACATTGAAATCGCCAAAAAAAAATAAAATATTATTTTTGTAGTTCGTGAAATTTCCTACGAGTTGGCATCACTCGGAATTTTTGACTCACGATAATATCACACAAGCACTAGTAATCATTAATGAACATACATACCCTTGCCAATCCGTTTTGGAAGCTTACTAGATTTTTTGTTTTAAAGCATATATTGTGGTTGGATGCCAAATATCCATTCAGTGCCAGCATATTTGGTATGTAATACAATGGGTTATACAAAATCACATCCCAAAAAGATCCAAAAATTCTTATTCGTGATATGAGCTGTTAAAATTAATAATAACTGATTTTGTTACCATTTTTGATAAAGAAATAAGTATTTTATTTTAAACTTTAAATACTTTCAAATTATTGCTTATCCAGGTACACAAATTAAGATGAACTCAGAAAAAGTTATTGCACGGATATACGTGTTTCAAATGCATGGAGCAGTTTTCATTACATAAAATATCATTAAAGATATAAAATATCTCATCCGTTATCACTGAATATCGCTGTAAGCAGCTTAACTGTTTTAGATCCTATAGGGATCTTAATGGATTTACACCAAACATTTTAGTAACCAACACAATCATGAAATGAAAGAAACTTTCAAGGACAGAAGTAGTCAATAGACAAAGCTTATTAAATCAAATAAGTGCTCTGTGATGAACAAAATTTGGAGTCCTGTAGTTTGAATACGAATACTAATAGTACTAACAGTAATTCTGAGGCTGCTCAAACTGGTAGGCCCCTAATAACACAAAATATCAGTGAGCCATTTATTGCTGGCTTTTGCCAAAATTAAGCTATACGTAATTGCTCTCTAAAAACAGAAATATTGTTCAAATTGTTTCTGGAAAATACCCCAAATAGGCTTGTTGATCAAATATTTACACTTATTTTTAGAGGATCTGAGAAAATATGATGCCAACCTAGTGTAACTAAAACAGAAATATGTTTGGAAGTAAGTAAGATATTTGAAAATATAAAAAAAAAATTTTGATAATTCAAAATCAGAATACTTAAGATTCAAACGGTTAGAAAATACAAAATTGTTTTATAAAACCCAAGAATCTTATCATATTGGGTTAACAACTTCGTTGGCAAATAGATACACCCGGTCAGACAGCAATTTCAGTACGTAAAGTTCAGGGACAAATCGTTTCTATAAGGACTGTTCTTAAGAAGTTTTTAGAAATTCCAAACGTTTTTGCAAACATCGAGGCCCAGCTGTAAGAGCAAGAATCAATTATTTCTGAAATTACTAGTATATATCAAGGAGAGTTATGGAAAGGTTTAAAAAATATATTTTTTTTTAATATAAATGTTATTTCCGATTTATTTATTTTTGACGATTTCAATTCAGTTAACCCTCTCAGTTTCCAGAGCTGGAATCTATAAAATAGGAGCAGTGTAACTTATCCTTGCATGCATGCCCTTTGGGTTGCTTCTTTATTAGAGAACATATTTCTAGTCCAACTGTTTTATTCTTGTGACAGGACTACTCATGGAAACCAGAAAATATTTTATAAGTTAATTGAAGAATTAATTTATTTAGAAACAGAAGGGATTTGTATAACTTTACCTGATGATGGTAACGAACGTAGAGTATTTTTTACCTTAGTTCTGATACTAGGTGATAATTTGGGTTTAAATAGTGTTCTAGGATTTACTGAAAGTTTCAATTAGCTGACCATTTTTTGCAGAATTTGTCTAATATCAAAATTAGAGTCACATTCAGAAACAGATGAATCTAAATTTATTTATCGGAATGAATTAAATTATGATCTTCATAAAACTCAAAAATCGCATGGTGTAAAGAGTCTTGTATTTGGAATGTGCTTTCAAATTTTCACGTTACTAAGAACGTTTCTTGTGATCTGATGCATGATCTATTAGAAGGTGTTTTAAGATATTTATAAGTAATTTAAAAAAAAAAAAAAAAAAAAAAAAAAATTTTAACACAAAGATATTTTGAACAATAGAATAAAGTTTTAAAATTTTCCAAAACTTTTTTTTTTTTTTTTATGTATTATTTAATTTAGAACATTTGAAAAAAAAACACCTTATATTTATTATATTAAAAAAAAAAAAAAAATAATATATTTTAGTTTTTCTTTTTTTTTTTTTTTTTTTTTTTTGTGAAAAAAATTTGGAAATTTTTACGTGGTCACCCTTCAGATGGTAGAGAAATATTATTAGGCAGAACATTTACCGATGACTTAATACTTTATTTAAATATTATAATTGAGGAACATCATTCCATGTTTATTGAGTACTTTGAAGAACATTTAAGGCCGAAATATCATATGTTGTTACACTATCCCAGAATGATTAGATTGTTAGGCCCCCCTCGACATTACTGGGGAATGAGATTTGAAGGGTTTCATAAGCTTTTAAAAGCTACGGCTAATTCTACTAGTTGTAGAAAAAATTTATTGGTTACTTTATCCTTAAAACAACAATTAAGATTGTCATCCAGATTCTCAGTGATAAAGGATTAGAATATGAAAAAAAAAAACTTTTTTTTTTTTGTTATTTAAACAAAATCCTTAAAATTCTCCAGATAAATTTTAGCAATGAAGCTCTTTCTGTGCCTTGGGTAAAAGCAATAATTACACTTTGTATAGAAGGTTTTTCTTAATATTAGCGCTTTTAATAGGACGACGGCCTTGTTGCTTTGTTGCTCAAATTCAAGTATTATTATTGATAAGGATTATTTTTTTTGTTGGTAAATAGTTATGAAACTCTTGGTTTTAGTTCTCACTTTCAAGCATATAAATTAAAAAAGCGTTACTACCTTGTTAATTAGATCTTTTGATTCTTTAAAAAATAAAAACGTTTATAACGCTCATTTTTTAGGAAGCGGTTGTTGTTTTATTTCGATGATAAAATAGA